TTTCCATTATGTTTTCATTCTATTCCATTTCATTTCGGTCCCTTTATCAAGGGAACTTTTTGAAGCCCCTTTATACACACACAAATGGAATGAAGAGATATGGAACTTTCCCACAAACTTTTTGAAGCCCCTTGTGTAGGTCCAACTGCTGTCCAGTTGATTCCAAACTCAGAGTGACCCTACATAGGGTTTGGCAGCCACGTGTTTTCTCCCGAGGAGAGGTGCTGCGCCGTCAGAGCAAGACGAGACTTTCTGATCCCATAAAGATTTACAGGTTCTGAAACCCTATACCGGGTTGCTATATGCTCGCACCATACCCCTCTTTGGCTAGCAGCGCCTAACCCACAGCACCACCACTCAGAGCTCCGCCCCAGCTCCTAGTAACCACGGAACTCCTTTGTGCATCTGTCCATACGAGAGCGCTTCACAAAGTCTGTGGAAAACTGGAGTTAGAAGACCATGGAACTTTTCCACGCCCCTTCTGAAGCCCCCTCTTATGTCATCGCAGTGAGGTCATGCACCTTTTGTCCTTCTGTGGCTGACGCCTCCCCCTCAGCATGGTGCTCTGGGGTGCAGGTATCCCCATGTCCTAATGAGATCGGCCTTCATGACCTCTGGCCAGGGTTTGGGTTTGGTGTCTGCTAAAACTGCATAATTGAGTCTCTCCCTTCTTCCCTCAGGGTCCTTCCTGGTCCTCACCCTCCAGGTGTCTGTATTTTCCCTTTGTCCCTGAAAGCAGTTACCCTGGGTTGTTGCTATATTTGCTTATTTGTCTCTCTCCACTTGGTGACTCATTAGACTTGGAAGAGTCCCCGCTCCACCCCCTCTCCCCACCCCACCCCCACCAGGAGATTTGTTTTCTGGTAGTTATTGTCACATGATGAACTGGGGAGTTTTTACATTTCTTTCTTCCCTGCCCCACCCCCTTCTAAAAATTTCCAGCCCAGTTCCCTGCATACGCTATTAACTAGAACCTGTTGAGGAATGTTTTCAGAATTTTGGCCCGACACGTGCAGGTTTCTCAGGTTTCTCTTCCAAAGAGAATGGCTTGCCTCCTCCGAGGAGTTCTGGGCCTGTCTTAGTTCCGTGTGCCCCACTTCATCTGTGTCTTCTCTGAACTCAGCAAGCTTGGAGGTGGAGCCCAACTCTTTTATTGTGTGTTACAATATTGTGGTAGAATACATGCAACAGCAACAAAAAAAGCCATTTAACCATTTTTTTCCCATGGGCAGTTTAATAACATTAATTATAGTCACCATGGTGTGCAATCCTCAGCAGTAGTTCCAAAATTTTTGATCTCCCCAAATAGAAACTCAGTCCTCTTTAAGCTGTAGCTCCCCATTCCCTACCCAACGCACCCCTCAAAAACAATAACAACACTGCCATGAAAGCCTTTGTGATCCATAGCAACCCTGTATAGGGTTTCTGAAGCTGCTGCTGGTGGGTTCGAACTGTCTACCTTGTGGTTCACAGTCCAGTGCTCAATCCTACAGCACCATGCTAACCACTGATGATAATCTTTCTGTCCCTACACATTTGCTCATTGTAGGTACTTGATTTTAAAGGCGCTCTGGTTACGAGTTGGGCTGCTAACCTCAAGGTCAGCTGTTCGAAACTACCAGCTGTTCCGCGGGAGAAAGATGAGGCTTTCTGCTCCCGTAAAGATTTATAGCCTCGGAAACCTTATACAGGGTTGCTATGAGTCGGAACCGACTCCACGGCACTTCACAACAACAACGTTTTCAAGGTTCATCCATATTCCAGTATCAACATTTCCCTTCTTCCTGGCTCAGTCATATTCCCCGGTGCTGATGGACACTCGGGTTGTTTGCACTTGCTATTGGGAATAGCGCTACAATGAACAGCAGTATACAGGCAGAGCCAAATGATGGCTTTTAACAAATCAAAAGGCAGCACCAAGGGAAGAAAAACCCAAACTTGTTGTCAAACTGATGGTGACCCAGGTGGATCAGAGTAGAACTGTGCTCCCTAGAGTTTTTTCCTTTCTTTTAAATATCTTACTGTGTTTAGGGTGAAAGTTTTTACATCAGACTAGCTTGCCATGTAACAATTACGACACAAGATGAAGCCATCTGCTCCCAATACAAGGTTGCCATGAGTCAGAACCAACTCGACGGCACTTAACAACAACAACAAGCTATCCAGTTACATTTTTCCCAGTGTGCTAACATTCCCATTAATTCCTCTCTGGTTGTTTCATTTCTGGTACTTTAGTTTCCCTTTCATCTCTGCTTTAGAGTCATTATTTGGTCTTATATGGATGATTTTTTACAATGTGTACACTTCTCATGAATATTTTATGAGCCAGTCTGTTGTTGAGCTAAAAAACATTGGGCTCCAAAGGTAGTTTCCATTCAAGGTTTATGGAATATCTCAGGATAATAGTTTCCGGGAGTTCTCTGTTCTCAACCCATTCAATAAGTCTGGACTCTTTAGGAATTTGACTACTGTTTTACATTTTTCTCTCATTCTCTCATGGTCCACCTATTGTGGTCCTGATCAGAATGGTCAGTAGTGGCAGCTGGGCACCGTCTTCTGCTTTCTGAGTACATGAGGTTGTGGTTTGTCCATTAGGTTCTCAGTGGCTGATTTTTCAGAAGTACATCTCTGGACTTTCTTCTAAAACACCTCTGGATAGGTTTGAACCGCCAACCTTTCGGTCCATTATCGAGCACCTAACCTGTTGGCCACACAGAACTCCTGTGGAAAGGAAAGAACTTTTTATTTGTCCTCAGGCATTAAACCCACTGAAGGTTTGGGTTTGATGTGGAGGCCGTGTGGCTCCCTTCTTTCCCAACTGTTTCTGACTTGCTGGAGGCCTGGTGAACATACACCACCGGGGCTTCAACCGGAGTCGTGGAGATGCCGCGGTTAAGTACCCGACTTGGAGCTGAAAGGTTGGCGGTTTACATTTACAGTCTGTTTCCAGCCATGAAGTCGGGGTCTCAAACCCTCTAGTAGAGTTTCTGTGAGCTCTCTAAAAAACAAACAAAACCCCGCTACGAGCCAGTAAGCTCCCACTCACAGAGCTAGCCCTAGACTAGACAGGGTTTCAGAGAAGACTGCAAATCTTTGGGGGGTCAGACAGCCTCGTCTTTCTCCTGTGGAGCCGTTGGTGGGTTTGAACCTCCAATCTTGAGGTTAGGAGTCCATCACCTAAGCCACAGCGCCACCACTAGCCTTAATTCTTTTTCCACTTAAGCCAGCCAGAGGTAAACTGAAAGATAAAGTACCCGACTGAAACAAAGAATAAGATGCAAGTTTTAGAATAACTCATAAAAATGTTCAGTGTCCTAAATCTAGGGGAAATTTTGCATGAAAACAGAAAAGGAAGAAAAAGGAATACAATATAATAATTATAATCAGGAATTGATGAGAGATCTAGTAAATCAATCAAGCAACTTTAAAAAAAAAAAAAAAAGATTTACAGCCTTGGGAAGCCTAGGGGCAGTTCTCTTCTGTCCTGTGGGGTCCCTGTGAGTTAGAATCGATTCGGCTGCTGTGGGTTTCGTGGCTTCAAGGAGAAGCTTTGCACCAAATGATCCTGGATGTGAGGGCAGGATTAACCAGGAGATTCCAGACAAGTTGTTTCATCTCCAAAATCAGGGGGTCAGCAAACAATGGCTCAGGCCAAGTCAGGTCCACCTCCAGCCTGTTTTTGTACAGCCTTTGAGCTCTGAGAATCATTTTTTTACATTTTAAAATGGTTGGGGGAAAGAAAGAAAAGGAGAATAGTATTTCATGACATGTGTGAATTCTATGACATTTAATTTCAGTGACCATAAAGTTGTACCGGAGCCTGGTGTGGCGTCGTGTCGATTTGAACTTCAAGGTCGGTGGTTCAAACTCACCAGCCACTCCTTGGAAACCATATAGAGGGTTGCCAAGTGTCAGAACCAACTCAACGGCACATCACAACAACAAATCTTTACTGGCACACAACACAACCATTTGTTTACAGAGCTTAAATTTTATCTAGGGCTGTTCTCAAGAGAGACAGAGCTGAGTAGTTTTGACAGCGGCTGTCTGTCCCAATAAGCTGAAACTGTGCTCTCTGGCCTTTTACACAAAGAGTTGGACAGCCTCTGTCCTAAGCCTTCGTTTTCAGTGGCTCTGTAGCATATGCACTGGACTACTGACCACCAGCTGCTCCAAGGGAGAAAGATGAGGCTTTCTTTTCCTGTCAAGATTTACAGCCTCAGAAGCCCTATATGGGGGTCACTATAAGTCAGGATTAACCTGACGACAATGAATTGGGTTTTGGGTTTTTGAATGTGAGGATAGAAGTCTCTGGGTGGTGCAAATCCTCCATCACTTGCTAACTGAGAAGTTGGTGGCCTGACCCACCCAGAGGTACCTTGGAAGAAAGGTCTGCCTGTCTTTCTGAAAGATTACAGCCACTAACAACGCTAGTGGGTGCAGTTTCGGCTTCACAGGAATTGATTTGTTATTGTTGCTGTAAGGAGAGGGCAGTGGTGACGTGGTGGTAGAATTCTCACCTTTCAGACCCTCCCATGATCATTTGTGGATCCGGCCATTGTGACCCACAGGATTTTCACAGAATCAATGGGCCCTAACAGCAGTGTTGTTGTTGTTGTGCTGTGGAGTCGGTTCTGACTCATAGCGACCCTGTACAGGGTTTCCGAGGCCATAAATCTTTACGGGAGCAGATAGCCTCCTTTTTCTCCTGTGGAACAGCTGGTAGTTTCAAACTGCTGACCATGCAGTTCACAGCCCGATTCGTAACCACTACGCTACCAGAGCTCCTTAACAACAACAACAACATGAGGGAACTAATAAGCCACAGGGGTAAGTGAAATGGTCAAGGCCGAGAGCTTGGCTCTGGAAGTCTGCCTCTTATCTCTCTGGGTCTCTGCGTTATCCATAGAGCTGTGGCTCCCGTAGCTCTCGGTGTGGCCCTGAGGAGGGTCCCCGTGGGCCAGCCAGCCTCCTCACACCCTCCCCACCGTGTCTTCCAGGAGCTGCACCTCTGCGTTTCCCGAAAGCACTTCTCCCTGGATCGGGGATGCCGACTTCGAGGGCTGCCCCCAGGCAACTACAGCGTGCGTGTGAGGGCCACCTCCCTGGCAGGCAATGGCTCCTGGACTGAAGCCACCTACTTCTACGTGACAGACTACTGTAAGTCTCCATAGCAGCTTGGGTCACTTGGGTTTGTGTTTTACTCAAGATGGAGTTGGGGTACCTTGGAAACTACGTCTGCTGGCCCTGGCCTTGAGCCGCGGGATCCACCAGCTACTGCTGTGTGACAAGGACAAGGTTCTTTCCCTCTCTGAGCTTGCATCCTCATCTGCCATGAGGGTAATAATGGGAACCGGCCTGGAGGCTGGACAGAGGTTTCAATATCATCGTTAATGTCACATGAACTTGACATTGGAATGACTTATGGAAGTTTTCAGAACTGGCCCCAAGCAACTCAGAATAACTGTTAATTTTGAGATGGGCCCTCCCCTCCAAGGTGTTGTGCCCTCCTCCCGCAAGCCTTGGGCAGAGCAAAACCCCCAAACAGGAAGCGTACCCAACATGAAGGTAGCACATAGCACACACAGGGGAGCCAATCAGGGAGGGCTTCCTGGAGGCAGTGAGGTCTCCGCTGAGACCTGGAGAATGAATGAAGGAGTGGACTCAGGAGGGAGACAGCCAGCCTGGCACTTGGTAGCAACCCAGACCCTTGAATGGGCAGGAGTGAATATTGCAAACCAGGAGGAGCAGGAGCCGGGGGGCCAGGGGTGGGTACGAGGGGTGAGGCGAGACTTTCCTGTGCTGGAGGCCGTAGCAAAGCAGGTGGGAGATGAGCCTTTCTGGGCTGGTTCTGATCAGGGTCAGGACTGGGCGAGCTGCCCCTGCACTTGCAGGACCCGGAGCTGCAGCGCCCCCTCCTGGATGCTCCCAGCTGTGGCTCTGATAGAGTCAAAAGGAGGTGATCTGGGGTCTGGGCAGCAGAGGTGGGAGGGGCCGCAAAGCTCAGGTCTTGGCCTCCCCAGCCCCAGCTTCAGCAATGACTTGGTTCGAACCTCTGAAGTCACCCTTCCTCCAAGGAAGGAAGCCAGGGACAAGGGAGGACCACAAGTCCAGCACCACACACCCAGAAACTTGTCATTCCTTTTGTGCCTTAAATTACTCACTATTTAAGGTGGACACCTGTGTGCCCGGAGCGGCCCAAGGCAGAACGAGAATGAACAGTCTGCTGTCCATTCAGGAGTCAAACCCACTTCCTTCAAGTTGACTCGGACCCTTTGGGACAGAGCTAGATTGCTCTATGGGGTTTCCAGTGTCACGAGGGCAGACTGCCTCTTCTTTTCCCGAGGAGTGGCTGGTGGGTTTGAACCACTGACCTTGTGGTGAGCAGTCCAATGATTAACCCACGGCACCACCAGGGCTCGTTTCACAGGGAGCAGGCGGGGGGGGGGGGGTGCCCTCTGTGTGGACACATAGTCAGCACTTACTCTGCCAGCCCTGTTCAAATCCCTGCTCCATGACCCTGCTCAAGAGCCCCCCTCCCCCCAAACCTCCCCACTGCTGAACCTCTGCTTTCCAATCTGTCAACTAGGATTCTACCCACTCCCTTGATTTCAAACAAACAAACAAACAAACAAATCAGTTACCCTGGAGTGGACTCCCAAGTCCCGGTGAGCACAGGTGTGCAGAGGAGACCTGTGCCAGAGGGTTGCCAAGGCTGTGACCTTTTGGAAGCAGATCACTAGACCTGTCTTCCCAGCTGCCTCAGGTGGGTCAAGCCTACAACCTTTAGGCCCCACCCAGGTACTTTGTGCTCAGAGTATGTGACAGTTAGAGACCTTCATGTGTAAAGTACTTGGCATTCTAAGATGCATGCAGAGGGAGCGTCCTATTCATCCCCAGCCCTTTCTTGGCACATCTGTCATTATAGACACTTCACCCTCACATAGACATGAAGGTCTGCACGAAGCACCTTTTGTTCTTTTTAGCCTGCTATTCACCCCGGCAGCCGGGACACCTGCAAAGCTGTGGTTCTGCAAAATAGCTTTTAATTGAGGTGAAATTCACAGAACATTTTCAAGTGAAAACAGTTCAGTAGCATCTACTACCTTGTGCACCCACCCTATCTATCTCGTTCCAGAACATTCTTAGACCCCCAACAATAATTTAGAGTCCCTGAGTGATGTGCTAGGCTACTAACTGAGAAAGGTTGGCAGCTTGGTGTCCACCCAGAAGCACCTTGGAAGAAAAGTCTGGTGACCTGCATCTGAAAAATCAGCCACCATAAACCCTGTGGAGCGAAGTTCTCCTCAGACACACATGGGGTCAGAATCCACTCCATAGCAACTTGTCCCTGCCCCTCCCCCAATTAAATCTATTAACTATGAAGGCCCGGTGGTACAGTGGTTGAAGCGCTCAGTTGCTAACAAAAGTTTGGTGATTTGAACCCAGCAGCTACTGTGTGGGAGAAAGGTGTGGCCGTAACCCTCTCTCTGTACAAGGTTACAGCCTTGGAAGCCCTGAAGAGCACTTCTCTCTGTCTTGTACGGTCACCCTAAGTTAAAATCCCGTTGTCCATTGAGTTTTGGTTTTTTTAACCATTAAGCCAAGGTCTCTGAGTGTAGCACATGATCTATGCTTGACTACTAATCCAAAGATTGGTGCTTTAAACCAGTGGCACACAGAAGAAAGGCCTGGTGATCTTCCGTAAAGATTGCAGCTCAGTTCTACTCTGCAACCTGTGGAGGGGCTGTGAGTCAGTATTGACTCACCTCCCAACAGGTGTGGCTTTGGATGACCTATTAAACCGTCACTCTCTGCTCCCCTTGGCAACTACCCATCTGCCTTCTGACTTCCCCTCTGCACATATCATAGAAATGGAAGCATATGATATGTGGCCCTCTGTGTCTGGAACAAAGCTGAGGATGGGCCAGTCACCCGCGGACTAGTGCATTGTCCGCAACAGGGGTGGTGATGGGATCGGGACCAGCTTTGAAATTTGCAAACAGAAACACGGGGCTCCTTGTCCAAAACATATTAAGAATTTCCTGGTAACATGGACCATGAAGCTGAGCAAGAGGTCCTGTGTGGTTGTCCAGGTCACTTGCCCATAACACAGTTTCTGGGCGTGAGGAGATGGGCCATGGTCTGGTAGGGGTGTACACTTCATAATTACAGACACCCCCCTACCCTGTGAGCCATTACAGGGTTGCTAGAAAACAGGGGTCTGGGACAAGAGGGGGGATGCACAGGCATAACCCACTGTTCCAGATGTCCAGACACGGAGGCTGGGGAGTGCTTGAGTGAACACATACTGACACAAAACCTGTATTCTCACATTTCGTTCCAGTGGACGTCCCTTCCAATATCGCAAAGATCGTCATCGGCCCCCTCATCTTTGTCTTTCTCTTCAGCGTTGTGATTGGAAGTATTTATGTGTTCCTGAGAAAAAGGTGAGTTCTGTGATGCTCTGGGGGCAAGTCTTGGCAAGCGAAAGACTGGCCATCAGCTCTGTAAAGATGACAGCCTAGGAAACCCTAAGGGACAGCTGTGCTCCGTCTTATGGGGTCACTATGAGCTGGAATCCACTCGACTGTACCCAGCAACAGCAGATATAGCTAAGTGTTGCACACCACCAGCTCGACTGCTAACCAAAAGGTTCAAGTCCACTCAGAAGAAAGGCGGGAAATCTGCTTCTGAAAACTCCATTGCTAAAAACCCTGTGAGGCCCAGTTCTGCTCTGACTTAAGTGAGGTGGCTGGAAGTTAGAGTCATCTCGGCAGTAACTAACTGAGGAGATGGGGGTAAAGTGCAGCATTTCAAAGCCCTGACCTAGCAGTGCTCACCAGAAACCACTGTGACATGCTCAGAAATTTTTCAAGCCAGTTGTTAACATATGTCCTTTGCTAAAATTGAACCTCAGATTCCAGTGTTTGACAACAATTCTATAAAAAGCAAAGGTGATAAGTACCAAGACCTCATTAATTCCTAATGGTCTTACGGCACCAGATGTCCCAGAGTCCGTTCCAACAGCTTAGAGCTGTGCTCTGTAGAGCTAGTTTTCAATGGCTGGGTTTTCCAAAGTAGAACACAAGGCCTCTCTTCCAAGGAGTCAACTGAAACCTCCAAACGTTTTCAGTTAGCAGCCAAGCATGTTAATCATTTCTCCTACCCAAGATGTTGCACAAATCCAGCATAAACTGCAATAAAAGCTCGAGGATGATGAGCAGTCGTCTGTGGATGGATTTCTAACCTGATGGGTGTCCACTGAAAACTTAAGTCCCTGCCCCAGACAGCATCCAAGCTGGTGATTAGGATTGGTCCAATAGTTAAGCACTCAGCTACTAAACCCATCAGAAGTGCCTTAGAAGAAAAGCCTGGGAATCTGCTTTCAAAAGATCACCATCTTGACAACCCGATGGGATGGAGCACAGTTTTCCTCGGCAACACATGAAGTTTCCAGGAGTCAGATTCAAGTTGACAGGTGTTTTTGAGGTTTTGTTTGTGATTTGAGGAGGCTTATAACCTCCCGGCGAGTTCCCTGGAACTGGTAAGCAGGCGTTCTTTCGTTTTTTCTCTTCCAGGCAGCCTGATGGGCCGATGGGACCACTGTATGCTTCTTCAAACCCTGAGTACCTCAGTGCCAGCGACGGTGAGTATTACCCGTCCCCTACCATGCGCCACTAGACAAGAGTTGTGTGGCGATAGTTGGCTGAGCAGCGGCTGGCTGGTCTAGGACGCCTCACGCACGTGCCTGGCGGATGGGAGTCAGGGGAGCCATAGCTGGGTCCGCGTTGTCCGCCTCCACCAGGCTAGCTGGGGCTTCTGTACTTAGACCTCTGCCAGTTCCCACCAGCAAGAGCGCACAAGCCTGAGGGCACAAGCCCGCCCCCAGCTTCTGCTAAAGAGCCTCTCATTGGTGCGCCTGGGCCAGATTCTAGGGGTGGGCGGGATAGACTCCACCTCTGATGGGCGGGGCTTGTCAGATGCGGTGTCCACCCCCTGGGCACTTTGCTGAAACTCCCGCCTCCCGTGTGAAGTAGCACCAATCAGGAGCCAGAGCTCTGAGATCAGCCCTTCTTGGCTGGAACCCCAGTTCAGTTGGCACCTTCCTGATCCCCCTCTCCCCTGAACAGAAAAGTCACTTCAGGACCCTTTGCTGGAACTTGTCCTAGCTGTAGGGATGGGGTGACCCCACGGGACCCGCCCAGGACACTCCTAGAACAGTGAGGAGTAGTATTTCCCTGTTCTGTGTATGTGCCGGACGAGTGGGAGGTGCCCCGCGAAAAGATCACCCTCCTACGGGAGCTGGGTCAGGGCTCCTTCGGCATGGTGTACGAGGGCAACGCCAGGGACGTCATCAAGGGTGAGGCGGAGACCCGTGTGGCTGTGAAGACTGTCAACGAGTCGGCCAGCCTGCGAGAGCGCATCGAGTTTCTCAACGAGGCATCTGTCATGAAGGGCTTCACCTGCCACCACGTGGTGAGTCTAGCGGGAGCCTCCTCCTCCTGGTACAAAGGGTGTGGGCCCCCTACCCAGCCTCTCCCACTTTGCTGGAAACCAGGCTTTATTTATTGTTTGATGGTGAATCAGATCACTGTATGCCACAGGGCTTTCACTAGCTGATTTTTGGAACTCCATCACCAGGCCTTTCTGCCTGGTCTGATTTACTCTGGAAGCGCTGCTATATGTGTTCAGCATCATAGCAACATAGCCTTCACTGTGCATGAGGTGAATTGATTGCCTTTCCAAAACTGGATCTCCCAAAGCAGACAGAATTCCTATCTATATCGGTGCCTGTGTTCATGTGTCGTGGTGTCATACTGTGGGCTAATGCGCTGGTCTGCAAGGTCGGTGGTTCAAATTCACCAGCCGCTCATCGGAAACCCTATACAGGGTCACTATGAGTCAGAACCGACTCCACGGCACTTAGCAACAACAACAACAATGTCTGTATATATTGTATCAAATATATATCACAGGAGCTCTGGTAGCGTAGTGGTTACGAATCAAGCTGCTAACCTCAGGGTCAGCAGTTCGAAACTACCAGCTGTTCCGTGGGAGAAAGATGAAGCATTCTGCTCCCGTAAAGATTTACAGCCTTGGAAAACCCTGTACAAGGTCGCTATGAGTCAGAACCGACTCCATGGCACATAACAACAACAACAACAACAATATATATCACATGTAATATATATTATATATAGAGAGAGAGCCCTGGGGCTGCAGTAGGTAAGCACTTGGCTACTAATAGAAAATTTGTTGGTTCGAACTTATCAGTGTATCACAGAAGAAAAGACCTGGCGATCTGCTCCCTTGCTGGGCAGATTCTACTTTGTCATACAGGGTCCCTGTGAGTCAGAGTTGACTCTGTAAAAATGCATATGTTTTTATTATAAACACTATTACACATATCACATTATTATAATCAAACAATGATGTATATTATAAATGATTAACATACAAGTAAGCTCTGGTAGCGTAGTGGTTATGAATCGGGCTGCGAACCTTAAGGTCAGCGGTTCGAAACTACCAGCCGCTCCGCGGGAGAAAGATAAGGCTTTCTACTCCCGTAAAGATTTACACCCTCGGAAACCCTGTACAGGGTCGCTATGGGTCGGAACCGACTCGACAGCACTTAACAACAACAATTATTATAACGAAACATATATAAAGAAAACATTCATCAAGGAGAAACTATCCACTAATCCTGGCATGGCGCTGTGGGTTAATGTGCCAGACTGCAAAGCAGTTTGAACTGCAAGGTCGGCGGTTCAAGCTCACCAGCTGCTCCTTGGAAACCCTATACAGGGTCGCTATGGGTCGGCACTGACTCAATGGAACTTTACAACAACGACAATCCACTAGAAAGATAAGCAAGGAAGAGGAATAAGCAATTCACAGAGGAAATAAAGAAAGAAAAAAGACAATGAATGAAAAGAACCCTGTCTTAGCTCTCAAGTGCTGGTATCACAGAAATGCTACACACTTTAACTTGTTGTTGTTAAGTGCCATGGAGTTGGTTCTGACCCATAGCGACCCTGAACAGGGTTTCTGAGGCTGCAAATCCTTATGGGAGCAGAAAGCCTCATCTTTCTCCCACTGAGCAGCTGGTAGTTTTGAACTGCTGACCCTGAGGTTAGTAGCCCAATTTTCCCCCCACTACACTACCAGAGCTCTAAGAGACATTTATTTTCTCACAGTGTGGTAGTGGTGGTTGGTGGTTATGTGCCGTGGAGTCGGTTCTGACTCATAATGACCCTGCGCAGGGTTTCTGAGGCTGTAAATCTTTACGGGAGCAGAAAGTCTCATCTTTCTCCCACATGACCTCTGGTAGATTCGAACTGCTGATCTTGCAGTGAGCAGCTTGCCTCATAATCCACTATGGTACCAGGGCTCACAATTTGTTGTTGTTGTTAAGTGCTGTGGAGTCAATTCTGACTCATAGCGACCCTGTACAGAGTTTCTGAGGAGCAGCTGGTGGTTTTGAAACGCCGAACTTTTGGTCCACAGTCCAGTGCTTACCCTACAGCACCAGGAGTCCAGGGCTCACAGTTTAGGAGACTAGAATTAAGAAGTCAGGGCGCTGGTCCTAGGGAAAGGCTCTCTGTCGGCTCTGGAGGACCCTCCTTGTCTTTTCAGCATTTGCTTCTTGGTTCTTTGGAGAGCTCCATGTGGTGTGGCATCTAGTTTCCCCACGTCTCTCCTCTGCTCTTCTTAAATCTCTTACTCCCTCAAATGAGACTGACTCAAGCTATGCATTATATCACGCCTACACACTTAGCATAGCTCACAGGGATTCTAACCTCAGGTTTAGAACCTAAGATTTGGGAAGACATAATTCAATCCATAACAAAGCCTGTGCTTGCCCCACAGGTCCGCCTCCTGGGGGTGGTATCTAAAGGTCAGCCGACACTGGTGGTGATGGAACTGATGGCCCATGGGGACCTGAAGAGCTACCTCCGTTCGCTGCGGCCAGAGGCTGAGGTAAGCTGCTGATATGCTGCCTGGCTGGGTCCCTGCTCCTGACCCAGGGCGTGTGTGTGTGTCTGAACATGACCCTGTGTTTCACCTTCAGAACAACCCCGGCCGTCCTCCCCCTACCCTGCAAGAGATGATCCAGATGGCGGCAGAAATTGCGGATGGGATGGCCTACTTGAATGCCAAGAAGTTTGTGCACCGGGATCTCGCAGCTCGAAACTGCATGGTGGCCCATGATTTCACCGTCAAAATTGGAGGTTGGTTTGCTTTCTGCTCAGAAGCATTTGAGCAAGTCCGCATGTGATTTCAGAAAGATTTTTCTATCCTTGGGTCACTCAGTTTTTCCCAAAAATGAAAAGGGGAGGGATGATGGTTTGAGCGTTCAGTCTTCAAACTTTAATTGCCTTCACTCATGCATTCACTCACTCACTCACTCACTCACTCACTCATTCACTTCTCCAAAAATATTTATAGTGTGTCTTCTATGGAAAGATATTTTATCTTTATTAAATGCTAGATATTAAAGGCTAAAAAGATCCAGACATGCAGAAGTTGGTACATTCCTGACCTCATACAGATTACAGTCTTATCTATGCCATTCGAAGCAGTAGCTATTGGCCACATGTGGCCATTCAAATCAACTCAAGTGATTGAAGCACTCAGTTCTTCTGAGTCACACTGGCCACCCTGCAAGAGCTCAGGACCCGCATGTGGTTGCTGTCCACCATACTGAACAGTGTAGACACAGAACACAGCAAGGTCACCCTGGCTACTCTAGGTGGACCATACAATAGTTGACAATTCTCTAAGTGAGATCATTAAGACTAAGGAAAGGGCTCTGAAGGGAATCAAGCGCACTGTGATGGAGAAAGCCCAGTGGCTCAGGAAACCCCTCTGTATGGAGTAGAATTTTAATCAAAACTTGCAGGATGAGAAGAAACTGGTTGATTGCATGCCGGGTGGCAGGTGCAGTACGTGTAAAACAGGAGGGGAGAGGCGGGACTGGACCCAAAGGACCTTGCAGGTCACATAGAGTCCTTTAGGAATGATGAGATCCTATGTAGGACTCCCAAAGAAATTTTCCTATGTAAGTATGGGAAGCAAGAAGTAACGTGGTTCTATTTATGATCCCACCGGCATTATCCGACAAAGCCAATGGGAAGCAGGAAGTGGCCTGGTCCTACCAATGCTAGCTTTTCTTGGACATGTGTTGGCCAAGGGTCACAGTTTGGGGAGGGTCCTGCAGGTGAGAGATGGTGGAGAAACCTGAGTGGGGTTCGGGCAATGGTGAGGAATGGATGGATTCGAGAAACAGAAGGGATGTGCTCAGGCCTAGCTGAGCCTTGTCTGTAGAGGAAGAAGAAAGAAGAGGGTCCTAGGGGAGGGTTTCTTTCGAGCCCTTGATGGGGGTGAAGCCCTAGCTAACCAGGAGCAGGAGGTTTTCCGGAAAAAGTCAGAAGTTTGGTTTGGGGTGCCTGTGAGCTGGCTGTTGGAAGGAAGCGGTGCTGGGGATGGGATTCTGCCACAACGATGCCCTTCTTCACTGGGGTTTTCTTCTGCCCCTTAAACGGCAGCCCATCCTCTTACTCCATGTGCCCGTGAATACCCTCAGAGGCCAGGCCACCTCACTGGGATTTGTCCTCCCTACACGAGCTCTGGTAGCGTAGTGGTTATGAATAGGGCTGCGAACCTTAAGGTCAGCGGTTCGAAACTACCAGCTGCTCCGCAGGAGAAAGATGAGGCTTTCTACTCCCGTAAAGATTTACACCCTCAGAAACCCTATACAGTGTCGCTATGGGTCGGAACCGACTCGATGGCACATAACAACAACAACAACAACAACACGTGGGATACGCTGGGGGCTCTGTTGGGCGGGGCAGCAAGGTGGCCACCTCTTGGGCTGAGTGTGACAAACCTGCGTACTGTGTGCTTTCAGACTTTGGAATGACCAGAGACATCTATGAGACTGATTACTACCGGAAAGGGGGCAAGGGGCTGCTGCCCGTGCGATGGATGGCACCGGAATCACTGAAGGACGGAGTCTTCACCACCTCCTCGGACATGTGGTGAGTTGTGGGCGGACTGACACATGCACGTGTATGGTGGAGCATGTGGGTGGCATGTGTCTCCAGATGTGTGTGTGTGTGTGCATGAGTACATGTGTGTACAGGTGTGTGCGTGTGTGGGTGCATGTGTATGTATAGCATGAGGAGCGCATGTGGGGCATGTGTGTACAGGTGTGTGTGCGTGTGTGGGTGCATGTGTCTACAGGTATGTGTGTGTGTGTGTATGTGTGGGTGCATGTGTCTACAGGTGGGGGTGGTGCATGTGTCTCCAGATGTGTGTATGTGTGCATGAGTACATGTGTGTGCAGGTGTGTGCATTGGTGGGTGCAGGTGTATGGTATAGCATGAGGAGCGCATGTGGGGCATGTGTATACAGGTGTGGGTGCATGTGTGGGTGCGTGAGTATACAGGTGTGTGTTCATGTGTGGGTGCAGGTGTCTACAGGTATGTGTGTGTATGTATGTGTGTGTATGTATGTGTGGTGTGTATGTGTGGGTGGGGCGTGTGTACAGCCGTGTGTACAGGTGTGTATTTGTGTGGGTGCATGTGTCTATAGGTGTGTGTGTGCATGGGTGCATGTCTACAGGTGTGGGGGGGCACATGTACAGGTGTGTATGCGTGTGTGTGTGTGTGTGCATGGGTGCATGTCTACAGGTGTGGGGGGGCACATGTACAGGTGTGTATGCGTGTGTGTGTGTGTGTGCATGGGTGCATGTGTCTACAGGTGTTTCTGTGCCTGGCTGCCTGGCTGTCCAAGAGTGTGAACCTGGGTGGGGGTGCATGCATAGACCCCCTGTGGGGTGCGTGTGGACGGGCACATCTGTAAGGCTCTGTGTCACTCTTCCCATCGCTCGCAGGTCTTTTGGCGTGGTCCTCTGGGAAATCACCAGCTTGGCAGAGCAGCCTTACCAAGGTCTGTCTAATGAGCAAGTGTTGAAATTTGTCATGGACGGAGGATACCTGGATCAACCTGACAATTGTCCTGAGAGAGTGTAAGTATAGAAAGGGTGGGAAATGTGAGGGGTTTCAAGGAAGACGGGTTGCTCTGTATGCAAACGCCTGTACTTCTGTGGCCTGTCTTTCCGTGTGTGCTTGTCCTTGCGTGTGCTGGCTTCAGCTGCATGCCTGTGTTTGCAGAGCATGTATGCCTGTTTTGATTTCACAGCTTTATTCATACTTGTATTTGCATGTCCTGTTTCTTGCTCACCTTTATATTTATACATATGCTTCTGCGGGCCTATCCTGTGTTGACGTGTGTGTGTTTGCATGTCCTAGGTTCACAGGCGTGCGCCCATCGGCATGTCCTATCTTTACTTACACGCCTTTCGCACCTGCTGTCTTTACAGGAGCACTTGGGTTTGAGCATCATTATCTCTAGAAGGTTGTGTGAGAAAGAAATGTCTTAACAGTAGCTGCCTCAGACGAAGGGGGCTCAGGGGCTGGGGTGGGAGAGAAGTTTCTGTTTAACTGTCTGTTCTATACATTTGAGGTTTTTACAATCATATGTATAGATAATCCAAAATTTAAGGACCAAATGGAAATCACAAACACAATTAGACACTGAGAGGATTGAACATATAATTGATAATCCAATATATATTGTTGTTTTTAAGTGCCATCGAGTCGGTTCCGACCCACCAGGACTCCAGTCCAATAGAGAGATAGTAAGAGTCCTGGAGTGGCGCTGTAGGATAAACACTGGATTGCTAGCCACAAGGTTGGCGGTTCAAACCCACAAGCACCTTGGAAACCCTATACACGGTTGCTGTGAGTCAGAGCCTACTCGGTGGCATCCAGCAACCAAAGGATAGACGAAGCAATGACTAGTGTTCAGTGCTGTTGGGGCAGGCAGCCATCCTCGGCCCCTTGCTGGGATAGCTGTTCACAACTGTGTTATTTAAAATTGAAACCCATTGAAATGACCTAATATCCAGCAATATGAAAACTGCTAAGTAAATTGATAAACTCATAACGATGTGGCAGTTGAGGTTTTTAATGGTATTTACGGACTCCTGGTGTGGCGCTGTGGGTTAATGTGCCACAGGGTCGCCAGTCAGCCCTTGGAAAACCTATCCAGGGTCACTCTGAGTTGGAACTGACTCGACAGCACTCAACAACATGGAGTCCTGGCATGGCTCTTTAAGGATCAGAGTTGGACAGTGAATCACAGAGTCAGCGGTTCAAACCCACTAGATGCTCCTCGTAAGCCCTATTCAGGGTCGCTATGAGTCAGAACCAACTTGATAGCACATAATAACAACAACCTAGAAATATAACTTGGTGGATAGGCTTATTTTAAAAACATTACATGGAAAAGCATGTGTATATATTCTCAAATATGTCAAGACTGAAAAGACCCAAAGGGAATAAACGCTGGACTATGGACCGTAAGGTCAGCGGTTTGAGCCCATCAGCCACTCCACAGAAGAAAGATGAGGCTTTCTGCTGTCACAAAGATTTACAGCCTTGGAAACCCTGCACAGGTCTCCCTGAGTCAGAACAACTCTACAGCAGTAAACACCAACAATATAATATCTACATACATAAATATAGACACACATGCATGCACACACAAGGGGGCTTCAGAAGGTTCGTGGAAAGATGCCATTTTTCCACAAATATTTTGAAGCCCCCTCATGTGTGTGTGTGTGTGTCATTGTTGTTAAGTGCCATCAAGTCAGTTCCGATCCATAGTGATCCTGTATAGGGTTTCCCAGGAGTAACTGGTGAGCTTGAACCACTGCCCTTGCAGTTCAAAACACCTTTGCAGTCCAGCACATTAACCCACAGCTCCACACCAGATATACATCTGTTTTGTTATTGTTAAGTGCCCATCCAGTCAGTTCCAACTATTAGCCACCCTGTATGGGATTTCTGAGGAGCCGCTGCTGGGTTTGAACCACCCACCTTGAGGTTAGCAGTCCAGTGCTTATCCTACAGCACCATAGCACGACTCCAAAGCTTGACCCACTGCCTTGTGCCTCTGAGTGGATGCTGTGTCTGGACAATTGCTGTTGATCCCAGTCCTGGTGGCCCCCTGTGTGTTGGAGTACAACTGTGGTCCACGGGGGGGCTTCAGTGACTGACTTTCCAGAAAGAAATCACCAGGCCTTTCTGCTGAGGGATCTCTGTGTGGGTCGACTCAGCCTCCAACATTTGGTGAGCAGCTGACTGTGCTAAACCGCTTGTACCTCTCCGGGTCTCCTAATCAGTTTCTGTTGAGTCAACCCTGACTCACAATGACCCCGTGTGTTTCAGAATAGAACTGGGCTGATTTGGGGAAAGTCAATCACCAGGCCTTTCTTCCACGGTACCTCTGGGTGAACTCAAACCACCTACCTTTCAATTGGCCTCCAAGAGTGCTGACCATGTACTCTACCCAGAGTCTAGGGAATAAAAGCCTTAGGAAATGCCCGGCGTGGGGAAAAGTTAGGGGTGTCATCACGGAATGCTGATGCACGTTGGCCTCAGGAGAAGCCCTTCTGGGCCTGGTTTTGGAATTAGCTTTCTGTGCAAATGCACCTTTCAGTACTAACCCTATGGCTGCCTTGTGATAGGAGCACTTGTTGTCTATGGCTGGCTGTCACTGGGCGGAAGCCACGTGGGGGGGAGGGTCCCCAGCCACCGCCACCCCTTCCCATGTACCCTCACTGACATGCCCCTCTTTCCCACAGCACTAACTTGATGCGAATGTGCTGGCAGTTCAACCCCAAGATGCGCCCCACCTTCCTAGAGATTGTCGACCAGCTCAAGGACGAACTACACCCCAGTTTTCCGGAAGTGTCTTTCTTCTACAGTGATGAGAACAAGGCTCCCGAGAGTGAAGAGCTGGAGATGGAACTCGAGGACATGGAGAACGTCCCTCTGGATCGCTCCTCGTACTCCCAGAGAGATGAGGCGGGGGGCCGGGATGGCGGGTCCTCGCTGAGCCTAAAGCGCAACTATGAAGAACACGTCCCCTACACCCACATGAACGGAGGCAAGAAGAATGGGCGGATTCTGACCCTGCCCCGGTCAAACCCTTCCTAACGGTGCCTGTAGAGGAGGGACCCCATCTCCACTCACCTCTCGGCCTTCAGAAAACTCAGGATTCCAAGGACTTTGCTTCAGTATCAACCCAAACTCAGAGATGCGACTACACCTCTGTGGTCATCTTAGGACTTAAAACACATTTGTCTGATTGCCAATTTGACTCTACGTCAGCGGATTTAACTGTGAACATGGAAGGGGAAGGGGTTTCCTTGGCAGCCGGACTTCCCGGCAACCGTGGCGTCAAGCCAAGATGTTATTTTTATTTGTATTTTTTTTTTTCCCTAGTAGATGGAAAGTACCCATTTTTAACTTTTTTTCTTGTTTTTTTGTTTTTGTTTTTGTTTTTTTGCTGATGTCTGAGCTATAGCATAAAACCGAAAACTTCTTTGTGGAACAAACTTTTGAAAGAAGAAAGCCTGTTCCGCCAGAATCCTAAGCGGCAGAGCTTCCGGAAGGTGTTTTCTTTTTGTTGTTGTATTTTCCTTTTTTCATCCAGGCTGAAGGAATTTTGTTGTTGTTGTTGTTGTTTTTCATTTTCACAAAATCAGTTCCTCAAGTTGACCAATAGCTGCTGCTTTCAGAAGATAAGAGTCTGTGGTCCGATGAGCGTTCCTCACGTGTGTGCACGTCTGCGTGTGCGTGTGTGCAGGTTAGACACAGGTCGGGGGGTGTGTGTACGTGTGTCTGTGCTCAGCGAACTCAGACTGGGTTGAAGCTTTGGGGTTTGCTGACGAAGGTTCTTCCCCAGGGCATGAGCTCGATTCCCCACCCCCTTCTTTTCTTCCTCATTGACAAGTAGATTGTGTCCCCTCAGAATCTTCTCGTGTCCCACCTCGAGCCTCAGGACTCTTCTCTCCCTGAACACTGGTGAAAAAATGGTTTCCAGGAGCCGAGGGAGTGACATTTAGTTTAGAGCAGTGGATCTTTACAAGACCAAACAAAGCCAGGACAGGGGAAAAAAAAAAACCAACAAAAAAGGAACTGAGATGACAAAGTGTCTCGAGACTATATCTGTAACATATTTAATCTTCTTAAGTGTCCAGCATTAACCTCATAAGTTATGGGCTGTTTCCCCGGGGGAGGGTCAAGGGTTGGTCTGCCTGTTTGGGGAGGGAGAGCGGGATTGAGGGACCCCTTTGTTTGGTCTTAAAGGTATCCATTTTCTGGGAATAAAGCCACATTAGCTGCTAACCCTTTCGGACGTTGTAGGCCATGTGAAGGTGTGGGCGGCTGTGCCTCACAGGTGGGTTGGTGGTAGCAGCACCATCTGCTGGAAGGTTCCTGCTCGGTCAAGGTCAAGCCGGGAGCATCTGGGAGCTGAGCCCACCTGCGCTCACACCTGTGCGTCTGCGCCTCACGCAGCCTCACGCGCTTCCTTGCCTGGGTGTGCGAACTCAACACCACCCGATCCCAAAAAGGACGAAATTTTGAGAACACTAAGCTATGAGTCTGAATGGACTGTACGGCCATGCATGGGTGTACGGGGCTTAAGCACTAAGCAAGCAAGACGTGCTGAAGACACCTACTGGTCCCCTCAACCTTCGGAGCACCTGACTTGTCCTCAGGACTGACCTTCCAAAATCTGCTCTGTGCCCAGCGACCTCAGCTGTGCCAGGCATGGGGCCTGAGCAGAACTCTCAGGTGCCTACCGCATCCCACCCCCAAGGAGATTGGAGTCTGGAGGCAGAGTCAGCGGAGCCCCTTCATGCCAACAAGGAATCACAGATAGGTGTGAATCCATACTTCTTTCTCTTTGGGAACCAGAACCACAGCTGCTCAAATAAACAACACAGTGAACTCTTTCCTTTGGTTCCTCAAAACCACCCCCCTCCACACAGTAACGTTACCCCTAAGTGCATGACTGCTTTCTTCTCTTCTCTTTAAGAGTTGTAAGATCAAGAACGGGATAGAGGCATAATGGCAACCTCTGAGCCGTCTTGCTTCTTAGTTAAAAACACAGGTAGACAGAAATTCCAAAGATCGATTGCTATCTTCTTTATATGATTTGAGAAATTACAGCATGTAAAATATTGCCAGCGAGCCTCAAGTGATTGGATCCAAGAAGGAGTACAATACAAAACAAAAAAGAAAGAGAAAAATTATTTTCACCAAATTCATTTTGTAAATAGAAGAGGAGTCTGTCGGTAAGTTATAAAACACGTAGCGCTAGGTATTTTGTTCCTTTCATAGGCAATTTGTAGTGGCCATATACCACATTAGCGACAATTTTCACAGTTTTCTAATTCAGAAAGGTTTTCTTACATTTAGGGGGAAATTATTTATTTTAATATATAAAAATCACTTTCGTGAACAACAGAGCGCATGTAAATTTTTATCGAAGAAACATAAACAGGTGGATGTGGGGTGATGATTTTTTTTTTCCCAGCACAGTCTACCTCAGTGGAATGTGAGGATGCAGTTCAGTAATGAGCATCTCAAGACGTCAGAATTCTGCCTAGATCCTGTCTGAATCCGGGAGTCCCTGTCAGCTGATTCTGAACACCAAGGGACCAGGAAGAATTGTGAGGGAGGTAGTCGGGGTGGAGAAGGTATATGCTTCATGTGAGCACAGATTCTTACTCTGGCCGACAATATTCTCCTCTGAATTTCATCTGCCTGCTTACCGCCCCCCACACTCTTTTACTTTTCTTTTCCGATCCTCCATCCACTTCACTGTGCTCCCCAACGTGAACCAAGTTTCAGACCACCATGAAGTATCTGATACGTGGGGTACCCCAGCCTGGTCCATGCTCCTTTGATGAGAAGTGGGTGCTGAGTCTCCGTTAGGAGCAAAGAGCTTTGGAGCAGAACCAACGTTCTGAGCCATTCCACCACCCTCCCCTCAGCCAGCGCCCAGGTGTCCTGAGACATCTATCATTTACGGCTGAGGACGCTCTCTGAGGGCAGAATGAGTCACACTCAGTGCGTTACCTCACACACCCAAGCCTATGACCCTTTTTCTTTGCCGAGTAGAAAGGGAGCATTCTGAGACATCCCAGTCCAAAATCCACCAGCACACGGGACACATTTTGCATCAACAAAACATTAGGCCCCTGTGTTGGGGTTCAGTTGGTCTCTAGCAGATCCTGTTTCACCCTGTATGGCTTTGAGAATCCACATGCAAATCTGGGTAGGGCTAGGAGGGGCCTCGCTGAATCTCGCTGCTCTTTTCATACTTTTCAGGGACTGTCCTGCAGACTCGTCCTCCTCCATCTGCCCTGGGACGGGCAGCTTGCGGGGTCCACCCCGGGTAATGGGATTTCACCAACTACATTTAGCGGTTCCTGCTGCTACGGTGAAAAGAACAAAGCAGCTGTTGAGTCAGAAGCCTCCTTTTCCGTCTGAAAATGTTGACTTTGCATCAGTAGACTTTTGGTCCTTTAGAGTTATGTTTGTCCTGGGGGTTTGCCGTGATGGGTTTAGAAAGGAAGCAGGGCTTAGGTTGACGCTTTTTGTTTGCTTTTAAAGAGGATTTACTGCTATTTAAACCCATCTCACTAATTTGGTGAAACCCACATTGTAGTGTCTTCTTCCAGGAGAAGAATACCAAACACGTGGCTTTCACCAGCATCAGTGATATCAAACACAGAACCATGTTTGTGCTGAGTGTGTGATTTTAAGTTTGTAGGAAAGGGGAGTGTTGCTGGTTTTCTGGAAATTTGTTGAACACGTGAGTGAGAGAAAACGTGAGGTTTGACACAAAGGCTCTGTCGACAAGGGGACTGTGCCACTGGTGGACAGGTCTCCCGCCAGGGTGACAATTTGCTATGAAAGGTTCTCCTATTAGGTGACGATACCAGTGGTCTCTGGGCAGGAACACTGTCAGGAAGCCACCCAGGCTGGCCATCTGGTAAGTGATCGGGTGGGCTGTGTTCTCAACGACAATCACTTTCCTACTTCCCAATAGGTGGAAGCTTGGGGTTCCATGACTTTTGGATGTCACCGAATGAGTCCTTGACACATCGTGCTCCCGCCATCATGATGGTTGGGTAGGAGTGAGGATGGGAGAATGCTGATTTTGTACAAAATTGCATGTGGAGTTGTGTCATTGCAGAAAACCTTCCAGAATGATCTTTGAGAATATCGATTTATAGCAGAGGAGAAGTTGGGAATGGGTAGAACAGAGAATAACTGCGTCTGAATGGAACGAATTTAAGACATTCAAGGGCTACGACTAAAGATGACTGTTTCCTTAGGGGTCTCCCCGGAAAGGAAGGGAAACGATTTCTTTTTAGCTCAGTCTCGCCTCCTAGTAGCAGCCGAGGCCTCGAACCATTGTGTTGGCCATAAAAAAAATCCGCGTGGAAAAAGCAGATCATGGATCTGGGACTCCAGGTCCCGCATCAGGAAGAAGGAATGGCCCCCAAGAAGGAGTGTGCATGCATGCGGACATTCAGACGTGACTTGTGTAGTCTTTATACTTTGCGTCAAAGTTGCTGCTCCTTGTTCCTCTGTGTGCCTGGGTGGCCTTGGCCCTGCGTGTCAGCAGACACCACCTGTCCGTGGTCAGCAGCGCAGGATCAGATGCGCCGTGACTGAAGCGGAAAACAACTCAGAAACAAAACCCACAGAAACTCAACTATTATTTTTTCAATGTTTTCCTATAAGAGCCAAGTAGTGGCATGTACAGAAAATGCCTTTTTAGAATATTGAAATCGTTCTGCATGTTAAAATTACCTGTTTATATTAAAATTCTGAATAAATTGAGACTGTTTGATTTTTGAGTGGCATCCACGCTATAGAACCTGTGGCCCATGTAGGAGGTGGGTGGAGGGGGATGTTCAGGGAAAGCCCCTAGGAAGTTACAAGTCCCTTATCTTCACCCAAAGCTGGAAGTTAAATGTCGGTTCCATTAAAGCACACTGAAGCCACGGGTTTAAACATCGAACTGTTTCCAGACCAGTTGGTAAATAATTTCCCTAAGAGTCCAGGCCTCCCAGACTTCTCCATGATCCAACCGCTTGGGTTAATTCCAGGAATACCAGGGGACCTCCAGG